CCAAAACTTTCAAAAAACTCCCAAAGTATGGTTTTCCAAAACTGGTTCTTCACATTCCACACGTTGCATTTCGCTCAGAACTCATGCATTTTGAAAAATTTCAGTTCTATTTGTTATGTTTTACATGCATTTCTTGTTGAGCCATTTATTTTTCCACGCTGATTTACTTTTCACTGTATATTGATGTTCCTTTTGTTGATGTTCTGGCTAGCCGAGATTTTCTAAAAAGAGAGGACAAATCTGGGTGGACCAGAATTGATGATAACGCCGAGATTTGGCAGTGATACTTCTGGTCACAAGAAACGGACTGGACCTGTAATCTGCATTACAAATACCCAGTTAGGGCGCATCCTTTTTTAAAAAGAAACTCGATTAATTATTGTCTTCCCCGATAATTTATTTGTTATTTTGATCTCGCAAGTTTTTTGCTGAATAAAAAGAATTTTTCCATGTTTTTTTTTTTTGGGAGGAGTACAGTGGTTATCCATCTGTTGGGCTATCGGAATTCCAAATGTGCCCTCGGTAGATAAATTTTGGATGGGCGTAGTGTTGTTTCATTTTTGTAATATTGTGGCGCTGCAAGATTTTTATTTCATATTTTGGTTCAGTTCTTTTTTACCTTAACCGTGTGAAATAATCGTTCAGTATTCGACGGACTTACGCCCTGTGCAGAAGCTGGACCATAGTTATTGTATCGTAAAGTTCACGCTTTCTTTGTTCTCTGTTTTGAACATTTGTCTTCCTTTTTTAACGATTTTTCCCCTACTATTTCCGTTGACTTTTAAATCGTCTGGCCGTTTTTTTTTTTTCATTCATTACGGTATTTTCTGCAACTTACTGTATATAATTTTATACATTCTGAGTAGAAAAGTCACTAGTCTAAGGAGTTTTCTGGGAGTTTGCTTTTATGCTGTTGTAGTAGCACAACTCTAGCCAAAAATGCCTCCAGTTCCATCATTTGTCGAGGACTTCATGCAACCAGGAATACATTCTCGCAAATTACCGTAACTTTAAGCATGAAGGAAAATGAATAATTTCTAGTAACCAGCTGCTAATAATGATCGGTCCTGGTTCCCGAATAAACAATTTTCCGGCCAAAACCTTCGCGCACCCATATTTGGAGGCCAGACACATTTATGGACTGAATTTGAAATATTTGCATCAACACCGGTAGAGAACATCTTCCCGAAATTTAGCTTTCCAACTTTTCTGGCTCCCCCAATTAATAAATCTCGCATCAGAGCTTCCGCATGTTTGCTACACAGTGCCTAGGCACATTGAGGAGCTGAATTTGAAAGTTAATGTTCATCTTCAGCTTAGTATACCTCCAAAACTTGACTGATCTTCTTAATTTTTCTTGTGCTCCATTTAGTATTTTTCCTGCTAAAACTTTCACGTGTCTGTATGCGGAACTCAAACGTAATGAGGAGCAGAATTTGAAATTTTTGGACGTGGAACAGCTCCTTAAAATCGCAGTTTTTTAGTCTTTCTGGTTTTCGAACTAGTAATTTTTACGTCAAAAGTTTCGCAGGCTCGTACGTGAGGGCCAGGCGTACTTAGTAGCTAAGTTTAAAATCCTTCTGTCATAAAAAGGCGTGAACACATCCCCATAAAATTACAACTTTCTACTCTTCCACTTCCCGAGTTAGCAATTTTTCCGCTGCGATTTTCACGCATCTGTACTCGCCTTGTTTTAACATATGCTTACTTCTTTGGTAATGATTCGTGTAAGCGATGAAGCTAATGCATCTCGTTAGCTAACAATACAAGCTACGCGTGGCTTTGAAGAATGAAAGGTGTGAATTTCTGGAGGTAACTCTATTTGATGGGCAAAAATGCGTCGGATTAAATTTTTTTATAAAAAATAAAAAGAGACAATAAATATATAAAATGTTAATTGTTGGATTAAAAAAAAAAAACACGGTAAAGAGTCATAAAACAATAAAACAGTAAAATTGTAACAACAGATACGACTGAAATTACATGCAGCGCAAGCAGTCGTAGAGCAAGATATGATGCAAAAAGTGTTATGAACATGGCTCCAGACATAATCAGTGCAAAGATGAAAGCACTGCTGGATGAAAGAGATTCTTACAGAGCTTAAT